CATTTTCTTATTTTTCTTGCATCATTTTCTTAGTTTTCTTATCAAAAAAAAAAAGTGATGCAACAAGCAAAAAAAAAAAGTAATACAACATCTTCTTATTTTTCTTGTCAAAAAATAAATAAATGGTAATACAATAAGTATCATATTTTTCTTCTCAAAAAAAAAAAAAAATGTAATACAAGTATTTCTTGTCAAAAAAATAAAACGTATTTCTTAAAAGTAATGATCCTATGAGACCCTCCAACACTCAAGTGTGTAGGACCCCCCCACACTCAAGTGTGTAGGACCCCAAAGGGTCACCATTAAATTTGGCACTGATCTCTAGAAAACGCAAGTTCCACACCCATGTGATAACTTTTCTAGAGAACTTTGTCAAATTTAATGGTGATCCTTTGAGGTCCTACACACATTAGTGTGGGAGGGTCTCATAAGATCATTACTCATTTCTTAATACAACAAGTATTTCTTAATACAACAAGTATTTCTTAATACAACCTAAGAATAAATTGTCTAATTGTTTTTTTTTTTTATAACATGGCGATCTTTAACATAAATTTAAGAATATTAATTCAAAGATATGGTTCATATAATGAGGCCATTTGAAATCTTTTTCTCTCTCTCTACTAACAATCTCTTCTACTAAATTTATTCTAGAAACCTAAAAAATTAAATTTTTGAAAAATTAAAGTGTTATTTTGAAAATTGGTACACATTCTAATAATTTCTACATTGATAACCAAATTTTTTATTTTATTTTTTAATTTATTTGCATCATAAATCATGTAATGTACTATTTTTCTTACAATTGTCAATAATACATTTTAAATTAGATGATATTATAAGATATTTTGGATTTGTTATTATTTATATAATAAAATATTTATAAAATACAAACCAAAAATTTCAATTTCAGTATATAATATTATAGTCAGTTAGGTTGTAATAATTTTGGATTATAGTTAGTTAGGTTGTAATTAATTGGGTTTTTTTTAGCAGATTTAAGGTTTTCCGTCAATTCGAGATTTTAGTAGTCATTTTTTCATCGATTTAATCCATTATTTATTGTAGTCCATGTATGATTATATACTTTATTCATGATAATTCTATGATTTCTCTTTTATGTGATGTAAATTTAATGGCTAACATAAGTTCATACATGGAAAGAACATCTCAATATTCGCAAATTGATGAAAAAAATAAAAGTAAATAATGTAGTACCCCCATTTTTTATTGGATTCCTAAAATAAAATATTTATAATGAATTTTAATAATTTTTTTTAATTTTTTTAAGGCTTAATCAGACTGGTCAATTCTCAATTCGATTCGCCGATTCACCGATCCGGGTGGATCGTTGGTGTGCCCAATCCAAGGCACCAATCCACTTTTTAATCCATTGTTCCAGTGTTGGTTTTATATAGCACTTGTTTATATTGCACGGATATAAAAAGCTATCTAATGTCCAGAATGAATGGTTTGGGGACGTCCTTCATCAAAGAAGGGGATGTTTGGATCTATGAAAAAAAGATTACATGGAAAGATCTATTTTCTTTGAAATGTATTTGAAAAGTATTTCATATAAAATAAATTTCTATTGTTTGGATGGTACGTAGATGTATAATATTTTCATGGCTTTTTTTTGTTTTTTATTTTGTTAAATGCTTTTGATTGTATTATTAATTATAATGTTATTTTTCATTAAATCTCTCTAAAAATTTTAAGTAGTTTCTCACAAAAATTTGATAAAGTTTGCTTCTCTAAAATTTTAACATATTTTCTCTCTCTAGATCTTAAAATTTGAGATAGTTTCTTTCTCTAAAAACTTAGAGATAGCTTCTCTCTCTAAAAATTTCAAGTACTTTCTCTCTCTAAAATCTTAAAATACTTTCTCTAAAACTTAAAATATAAGATAGTTTCTTTCTCTAAAATTTTTGAGGTAGTTTCTCTCTCAAAAACAATTAGGTAGTTTTCTCTCTCTAAAAATAGTAAGATATTTTCTCTCACTAAAACTTAAAATTTGAGATAGTTTCTCTCTTTAAAAATTTAGAGATAGTTTCTCTCTCCAAAAAAATTTAAATATTTTCTCTTTCTAAACTTAAAATTTGAGATAGTTTCTTTCTCTAAAATTTGATATAATTTTTCTTTCTAAAATTTTGAGATAGTTTCTCTCTAAAACTTAAAATTTGAGATGCTCTCTATGAAATTTTTGAGATAGTTTATCTCTCTAAAAATTTTCAGGTACTTTCTCTCTCTAAGACTTTAAATTTGAATAGTTTCTCTCTAAAAATTTTGAGATAGTTTCTTTCTCTAAAAATTTTGATGTACTTTTTCTCTCTAAGACTTAAAATTTGCTATAGTTTCTCTCCTTAAAAATTTTGAGATAGTTTAGCTCTCTAAATATTTTTAGGTATTTCATTTATCTATAATTTAAAATTTGAGATAGTTTCTCTCTTTAAAAATTTTAAGATAGTTTCTCTCAATAAAAGTTAAAATTTGAGATAGCTTCTCTCTCTAAAACTTAAATTTGATATAGTTTCTCTCTCTAAAAATTTTGAGATAGTTTCCCTCTCTAAATTTTTTTTTTACTTTCTCGTTCCTCTCTCTAAAAACTTAAAATTGGAGATAGTTTCTCTCTAAAAATTTTGAGATAGTTTCTCTCTCTAAAAAATTTAGGTACGTTCTCTTTATAAATTTTAATATTTGAGATAGTTTCTCTCTATACATTTTGAGATAGTTTCTCTCACTAAAACTTAAAATTTGAGATATATTCTCTCTCTAAAAATTTTGATATAGTTTCTCTCCTTAAAACATTTTTAGGTACTTTTCTATCTAAAATTTACTACAGTTTCTCTCTCTCAAATTGTAAGATATTTTGTCTCTCAAGAACTTAATTTGAAATAGTTTTTCTTTGTAAAATTTCGAGACAGGTTCTCCCTCTAAAGATTTTTTTGGGAGTTTCTCTAAAATTTTAAGATATATTTTTCTCTAAAACTTAAAATGTGAGCTAGTCTCTCTCTAATTCATGGGGGTGTTTTGGTGGAATTAATTGTATTTTGTAAAATGAGCCTCTCTCTAATAAGGAAATCTAGCTGGAAATAAATTTCAGAAATAAAGGCAATAATACAAATTTCTTTATTTTTAGCTTAAAATCAAGAAATTATTTCTGACAGAAATATTTTTGAAGTCCCAAAATTTCAATCCAAGCTCGCCATCTCCATACAAAAACATTTCTGTAAATGAATTTTCGAGTATCCAGATAGCACCTAAAAGTACTTTGATTTTCAGAGAGTTCAATGGGAGGTTCTACAATTTTATCCGGTTCATGATTGAAGTTGAATAAGAGAAATCAATCCATTGGTAGGGTTCTAGTTCGGGTCTCCGAGAGAAGGGAATGACCCAACATCCCCTCTATATACTCGATCTACCGTCCAAAAGTGAACAGTCGTTGTAAATATCTCTCTGTTGGGGATCTAATTCGAGCAGTATCAAAATTCTAATAAGCCCAGGCATGTCCTGTTTCTTTCCTGGTAGGTATGCCATCATCCACCCCCTCTAAACCCACAAGACCTCCCCCCACCCCCTCTAATCGGATGGTTGAGGGGAACTATTGATATTCCATGTAGCAGAAAACCATACATGTAGCCTATTATTTTAAAAAATGGACATTGGATTAGATTTTTTAGGGTTCTGACATTTTTTAAACAAGTTATAGCACAAACTCCAAGTTTGTAATAGTTTTTAATTATGTACTTATTTTAATGAGACGTGAATATGTTGACGGAATGTAGGTATATGATATGGGAAACTATATAATGTGGCCTATATAATGAGACCATCTATTTTAGGTACAACGTGGTCACAATTAAGCTTGATTATTGGATGTGAAAATGGGTAGTTACATTTATTTCATTGACTAAGTTTAAAGTTCAAATTTTTTTTCAAACTTTGTCCAATACCCAAGCAATCGGATTTCACATTGGATGGTTATAAATAACTGTAACCTCCTTGTATTAAAGATAAATGATCTCATTATCTACAATCCTAGATATTATAAGTATAGTATAGATGCTCTTTCTGAGTTGTGGACTTTATTCGAACCTCACTAAACTCTCTACCAAAGGAATCCTTCTACTGTGTTGTCTATGAAAGAAAAAGTCATTTTCGTATCGACACCAAAAAAAAAAACACACAAAAAGAAAATACAAAATGGGAAAAAAATTGGCAAAAAATATGCGAAAGATTTTTATGTTTTACAAAATTTCTCCTCGGTCCGATGATGTCACAACTTCTATTTTTTTAGTTCCTTTGTTAGTAGGATCAGTTCCAGAGCAGTTCGAGTATGGGGACCTCAGACCGCCCTCTCGACTGAGGTAGAGCTTAGCTCTAGGGCAGAATATGGTCCCCATCCCCGAACTGTTTTTTTCTTCCACAACAAAAAAGCAAAGAGTGGTCCTAGGATGGGGAGTCGAACTTTGGCTTGGGGCTCAATTCTAAAGTAGTTTGAGGTCCTATCCTTGGATCGCTTTGGAACTGAGGCCTGCCAACAAAAAAACTACATAAAAATAAAAAGCTTTTCGAGGATGGCATCTTCGGACCAAGTGATAATTTTAAAAGAGAAAAAAATACAGGTTAACCAACCTTGTGCATAATTTCACCCAAAGCCCATTTTATATTTTCCTATTTCTTTTAGTGTTAGTACGTAAATTAGTATTAAAAAAAATAAAAAAGAACTCAACTACAATGATAAAGAAGATTGGAACGAAACTAAACTCCATCCGGATCATATATGATACGATTCCCATGCAATTGCCGTCTCGTCCTTGGACGAAAAAAACGTCCCAACCTTTTTTTTTTCAGACGTGCGAGTTTTAGGATTCCTAAATAATACAAATGCTTCATTTCAGGTGTCTTCACAGGCCTTATTATTTTATTTTATAGCTCGCCTCACACTTTATGCGAGATCCTACTATATACATTACTTTCCCAAAAATTCGAGACATATCTGACACCAAAACACCAGTTTATGCCCATTGGTACAAACTCCAAACTTTAAAGGGAGAGTATGTACACAATAAAAACCAAATGTAACAAAATAAAGGTTATGAAGAGTTTAGGGCCCCATATGCAACCAAAGCACAGATGAAGAGAGAGAGAGAGAGAGAGAGCCGTTCGACCTGGTGTGAGGTTATGAAGAATTAGGGCCCCTTGAAAGCTGTCCAGTTCTGAGCAGTGCTGCCTTGAGCTCGTCATCGCTGCAGGGTGAGCCCTCAGGAACCCTGACCACCACATCCTGCACCATCAGTCCCTTCACATTAGAAACACTTGCATGGTGCACCGGCAATCCTAACTCCTCTAAAGCCCTCATTAGCTTTGCAGCCGGGTGTCCTGTGCTCTCGGATTGAACCCTAATAATCGCATCCTGCCCCATAATTTTCACCTCCAACTCTGCTATCCCATTCCACTCGGCTCCCTCTGAACCAGAAGTGTCCGGCATTAATTTACCGTCGGAGTCTTTTTGGGTGGTTTTTTCATCAGAGCCAAGCTTTTGTAGAGCTGATTCCAGGTGTTGGACCTTGGCTTTGAGCTGGTTTATGTAGGAGACGGCATCAGCGAGAAGGGAGGCCTTGTCCATCTTCGAGACATGGGGCACGACCGCCCGCAGTGCGTAGAAGCGGCGGTTCAGCTTCTCACGGCGCTGCCTCTCTGCCTCCACGTGGTTCAGGGGCACGACGCGGCCGTTCCCCGGCTTTCTTCCTCGCTTCTTTGGGCGGCGGTCCGCTGCTATTGCTTCTGCGGCGGCGGCAGCGGCTGCAATGTCTTCTGCATCGGAGTGCTCAGAGTCGACGCCGGACCATCCTGGTCCTGAGGACACTGCCACCGCCCCTTCCTCTGTTGCAGGAACTGAAGGTGGAGGCGGGTTATCCGAGCCCCATCGCTGAAGCTGGCCACTGCCAAAAATGGAGGTGAATGTTTCTAAGAGGCTCCAGTCCTCTGGAATGAGATCCATCGAGCCGAGCTCGAGCACGCCATTTGCAATGGGGATGCATGCCATCGACTGGATGCCATGTAAGTGTGCCTCTTTCGTCCTCTCGCAGTTATAGCTCTGAATGCTATGGCTGCCGGTGAGCCAGATCGGTCTCCCCGCCACAAACACATGCGCAGGGAGCCCCTCAGCACCCATAAACGACTTGGTTAGAGACACCATATAAAACCATTCGAGATCAGAGACATCAGAGTCCAGGGAGAATCCATCTCCGTCCGGGTCTACCTCCATCATCGCCTGCAAGTCCCTCAAAACTTTCTTCCGCTCCATCTGTTGAGCCTCCGACTTTGTCATCTGCGAGGGATTGCAGCCGTCGGTAGGGCCTCTAAAGAAACCTTCACCCCACACAAGAACCGGGGCCTGTGGGAGGGAGTCGTGCGAGGCCTCCCAGAAGATGGCATACTCCCACCACTCGGTGCGGGTGTTCAGTAGATGATGCAGGGATTGCTGGAGGGGCACCTGCTGCTGTGTTAGCCATGGTTGTTGTAATGAGGAAGAAGCAGCCATTGTTGGTGGCTCCATTGCTCGCTGGGAAGAGTTAATGTGAATAATGAGGTGGTCCAAAGTGTTTGTGAGAGAGATGAAGAAATGTGAACCCAACAATCCCTATCTCCTTCAATCACTCTCTTCTTCCTCCTCTACTTTGTCCCCTACTCCATACAGAAGCACATTCTCTCTCTTCCTGATTGAAAATGAAAATGAGGTGTGTTGGAATCTTATCAATTCCCACGTGAATTAAACATCTGGCCCCTATGAAGCCTGCAAAGCACGTTTTCCGTGCAATCATGGTGGATCGATCGACTCTCGTTTTTTCTTTTCAAGCTTTTCACTGCCGTTTATGCTAAATTGCCTCGAACGCATTTATACACATACGGTCCAGAAAGTGTGAAGCATCTAATTAGGTGTTCCATCTAAAAATAATGGAAATATTTTTTTACTAGAATTATTATTTTTAATTTTTAAAATTTATTTATTTATTCATATTCATGATCTTCATATTAATGATCTTCATGTTTAAGATTACATCTCCTTGAAAATTAAGTCTTAAAATCCATCTCAAAAAATAGATTTATTCAGGGCTACATTTTGCCGCAGAGAAATGTGGTTATTAGCCACTCTTAACTCTTTCTACATCTATTGCTTGTTGTCCTTGAGGAGTAGACCTCTTCTTTTTTTTTTTTTTGCGTGTCACCCCCCATTGTTAGAAATACCGGTTCGATTTTGAGATCACTTGTCACGCCCTTGCCGTACTACTCTTCGAGGTGGGATAAAAAATGGTTAAAAATTCGACAAACCGGGTGGGAAGAAACCGGTTGAGATAAGGAATTGTCGGGGTCTAGTTCTACCTAGATATTAGGAACTGAACGGGCTGGTTTTGGTTGACTATCTAACTGAACTAGTCAATTCTATGAGAACCGGCCCACTTTATTTTTTAAAAGTTTTCAAATTTTTGAGTAAAAAATTTTCTTTGCTAGTTCACTAGGCTTATCTGCGACCGGTTTTTTAGAGGGGCAATCTAGATCACCAAACCATATTTTTAAACCTTGGTCCCTAAATAGTAATCTCGTGCTAAAAGGTATGACATTCAAAATTTTGCATTGGGAATTTTTGAGCTTTTTTTAGTGTTTCAAAACTAATATCAATGGGTGAATTGTTCACCCTATAGTTCTATGTTGGATTGCTGGACCACTTATCTATATCAGTATGGATCAATTCAAATTGATGATTCAAAAAATTTTAAAATAAAATAAAATAAATGTTAAATTAGGGGCTTCTGGGGTAGGGATCTGAGGGATCTAAAAAACCCTTAGATAAGCTTAAAAAAAATAAAATAAAAGGTAGGGTTTTAAGGGGAATAAGGCCAGGTCACATAACATTTCATACCATTTCCCTACTAGTTCGGGAATCACAAGGTTTAAAGCACCGATTTTTCCCTTTTGTACATCGCAAGAATTTTGTTTTGGGAAGGCAATAAATCTAAGCCAAAAATTGTTTTCTAAATCTTTACATGAGTAATTTACTAAAACAAAATCCTTGAGAAAAAACTGCAACCAAGGCATATCCCTCTTTGTAAGCGGACATGTTTCTCGAAAGAGAAACTAGATAGCTCCCTCGAAAGAGAATAAAGGCTCCTCAATTGTGTTTCAAACTATGAGTACTTTTTTGATCGAATATTTTAATATTTTTAAGTTCTAAGTCTCCATCATTGTATTTTTTTTTTTTGTAACATTACGTAAATGTCTGTTATACTTTTCGTTATTACGAAAATACTTGAAACTTTTTTTTATTACAAAATGTTTATTTTTCAACTTCATAACTGTTTTTTTTAGAAGATGAAACTGTCCATTTCCGGTTTTTGAAAACCCAATTTTTTTTAATTTTCAGTTTTACAAGACCAAAAATTTTCGAATTTCGATTTTTGAAAAACCTAATTTAAAAACTGAATTTTTAAATATCAATATTATGTATGCCTATTTATTTAGACATTTGGTTGAATTAGCCTTTTGGTTATTATTGCATGCCTCTACCCTTTCACGTCAAGTGCTCGAGTCCCCCCATACGCAATCTAACTTTTTTTAATAAAAAATAGATGTCTTTTATTTTATTTAAAAGCAAAAAAAAAAAGCATGAAATGCATTGCTTTTCAGTTATCATGCATGCTTCTACACTTTCACATCAAGTGTTCGAATCCCCCCATACACAATCTATTTTTTTCAAAAAAAAAAGGATTTTTTTTATTTTATTAAAAACCAGAAAAACGATGTTTTTTATTTTATTAAAAACCAAAACAAAAAGCCACATCATAGAATGTGCAGTATTTGATACCAAAACCTCTTGAAGAAAATCATAGGCTTTTACCAATATACTATTTGAGTAATAATGATAGAAATAGGTATCGTCTTATATATACCTCTTTTTTTTTTCCACTTGCCGAGTTACAAGCACTAAAATTTGGTTTTTAAAAAACTGAAAAATAGACAGTTTCATCTTTTAAAAAAAAATGTGTTATGAAGTTGAACAAATGGACATCTGAGTAATAATGGAATGTTTCAGGTATTTTCGTAATTAACAAGAAATATAACAGATATTTACAAATTACCTTACTTTTTTTATAAAATTTTATATTAGGGTGCTCATACTATAGAGCATTTTATAATTGCATTCGACAGATTTTGGATATTAATATATCCTTATTTTGTACATGGAACATTTTTTAATAAGAGTATACTTGGTCATTAAGAGGGGTGTGACATCATTTACATAGGGTGTGACATCAATCACGTATTTATTATAAAACAAAGAAAGACAAGTGTCCAAAATTTATTGAGTACAATTATAAAATGTTCTATAGTGTGAATACCTCAACATAACCCTTTTATATAAAAAAATTGATACATTATTGACAAGATGCCCAAATTTCTCTATTGTAGAACATCCATTTTTGTTTATCTGTGCTCAACTAATCGGGCAAGTTAATCCGCTCATACTCACCCAGATATCTCCGGCTCACTACCCCGGGAGCCCGAGTATCCGTAGTTGGGTGTCCAACTGGGGGATCTTTAAAAAATATAAAAAAAGTATTAAAATATAAAATTTATTTGTAAGATGTTTTTAATGTGTTCTATCATTTTGGCAAAGATTGAAAAATATTTTAGTAATGAATACTTATTTTTAAATTTTTCCTTATTTTTAGGATTATTGCGATGATATAACCCTTTTGACAAATTGTGTTTTTTCTAAATCTAATGTTTTTACTGCTTTTTAAACCTCATTTAGATGTGTTTTGTTCAATCTTACTTAAACATATATTTTCTAATTTTCTTGGTTATTTAATTTTTAACACTTTTTTGTCCTAGCTGGTACCGCCTGACTAAGGCTAGCTACAGGACCGGTTCGAGATTACGATGACCCGGCCATGGCCGGTTTCCGCAGCCGATTCGTGTAAGCCACCCCTATGGTATGTTAAGCGTGATTGTATGCTCGATTTCTGAGAGAGAGAGAGAGAGAGAGAGAGAGAGAGAGAGAGAGAGAGAGAGAGAGAGAGAGAGAGAGAGAGAGAGAGAGAGAGAGAGAGAGAGAGAGAGAGAGAGAGAGAGAGAGAGAGTAGAGACGTAGTAGTACGAGTAGTAGTAACGTACGTAAGTACGTAAGTACGTAAGTACGTAAGTACGTACGTAACGTA